GCTTCATTTTTTTTTAGTCTCTCTGTGGCTTCCATGGGAAGCCACTTCTGCTCCCCCCAGCTGCCCACACTAGCTTTCTTTGCTCCCCACCTCTGCTGAATTGAATGCTTGTTTTGTATTCCCAACTGGATATCTGGGTCCCCCTTGATCCATCACTCCCAGTGGGCCAGAGGGTTACTTCTCTTCCACCCTTTGGTCCATGCTGAAGGATGCAGTGGAGGACAGACTCAAAGCCATTTTGGTTTCAGTCCTGAGACAGTGGTGGTGGTGGTGGTGGTGGTTATTATCGTGATGTGTAAGTTCATTGCTCAGTACCCGTGAGTGCAGACCAGTTCAGCAGGCTGAAGTGTTAGACGCCTGACGATTTCTTGGCGACTCTGGGCTGCCTTCTGAACCCAGAGTAATCAGTACAGTAAATCTGGGCCAAGAATTAGAGGGAGCCGCGTGCGCAGAGGCGCATTGAAACCAGCGGGCTCTCAGGAGGCACGGAGTCGTGCTGGCGCGGAGCCCGCCAGGCTACTTCTGCAGTTTCTGCCCTAGCCAGCGGGCTCTTGGTCCTGGGCAGGTTTTTCCTCCTGTCAGGTGTCCAGAAGGAGTTTCCTCGTGATGGGTATCGAGTTCTGATCTGGGACAGGAGCTGCGCTTGGAGGGGGCAGTTCTCCGCCGCGGCTGGTGGACCAGCGGCGCTGGGTGCGCATGCGCAGCCGGGCTCGGCGGGGCCGAGGAGGCGCAGCCGGAGTCCTCCGAGCTCAGGATGCTTTCCGAGGCGGTGAGACTGACAAGAGAGCCGGGGCGCGCAGCGCAGGCCACGTGGTACACATTCCAAGTCCTGTTGGGTGGCCAAAGGAGTAGGGAGGCCGGGGAGGGCCAGAGTATTCCGGGAGGGCTCCCTGGAGTTGCCATTGTTCATGTTCAGCCGTCCTAAGGTTGCAGCAGGCTGGGGCTGGGGAAGGGACCGGAGGGAACCTAAACCCGGAGTAAACCGGCTGGGGAATGCGCAAGAGCGAAAAACGCGAAGGAAAGTTAATGATCTCAGGCTTGGCCCTTACTCGGGCGCTGCCTCCCAGCTCTGAAATTCGTGGTGAGACAGCCGTGCTCTCGTGCTGCCCCCTGCTGGCTGTCGGGGAGCATGGCAGCAGTGACCGGACAGCGGCTCAAGATCAGGGTTCCGTTTAGTTTTACTTAACACCACACCTGATGCTGTTATCCGCCCTTTGATGGAGAGAACACATTTGGTGGCTGAACGTGTGCTTAGGAGTAGTAGCAGGGTGTCCCAGAAAGAGCTCTGGTTTCTCTCTGCAGGCCTTGGGGTGGTTGGCCCAGGTGAGCTGAGGGCCCCCTGGCTCTGCCTTCTGTGATTCTAGGTTAAAAACAATATAGGAAGCCTAGAAGGATGTGTCTCTGGGTGTCAGAGAAGCTGGGTGTGGTATCTCTACTAAGATAGGACCACGTGGCCAGATGACAGGGAATATGCTCAGC